CTCATGGGCGGGCCAGTGGTAGGCAGGGGTGGAAGGAAATGTTTGTGTAGGAAACCCTCACCCCTCCGCAAGGGAGAAGGTATAGAAATATCATCCGACGGTGAGGGCGAAAAGGGAAGGGCAAATGTGGAAAAAGGAGGCAACACAGAAATGGGAGATAAGGCTCGGGTCTCTGACGACGAAGGGGCCAACAGGGGCGAACGACGTGAGACTTGGCATGGGGAAAGCGAGGGGGGACAAGGTATGCGTGACGAACGTGAGGAGGACGAGGAGAAAAGGGAGAGCCCGCTTGAAGGACGAAGCGGTCACGGCAGTTGCGAGGGGTATGGGACAGGGACAGAGATCCTTTTTACCTACGATCCAAAGAACCTTGCTGGTGGGTATAGCCCCATACAGACTGAAGACGAGGGGAACGAGGAGGAGGATGTGCGAGAAGTCATAGAAATCAGCAGCGGGGATGAGAGGGATGAAATCTCAAGGCCTAGGGAAGAGGGGCGGCCTCCGATGCACCAGCCAGGCGATGGGGCTTTCAGATGGGAGGACGAGTTCAGGCCAACGCCTAGTCACTGGTTTCAGCAATCGACCAATGTAATCAGGCACGAATGGATTATCAAGACTCGGGCACTCACAAGGGCAAGGGTTAAAGCCACACCACTGGATTTTTTCAACGAGGTTGAGTTGCATAAAATTGTAAGGATGAAAAGAGAGATCGAGACCTACGGCCTGGGGGTTAGGAAGCCTGCTGAGGAACAAAGTGGACAAGGAACTAGGCGAGACGAGGCGCAAGGCAGTAATAGGAACTAGGTATTGGCTTAGCATTGAAAAGGATCGCGGCTTTCTGTCTGCAGAGATATGAGAATGACGAGAACGTGTATAATATGGGCAAGCTTGCTAAGGAGGAAGTGAAAAGAGGGCCAGCTAAGGCTGTGTCACGCTAAAGTTGAAGATAGTTGTTGAGGCTACTTTTGGATGAGCTACCTTGGGTACCTAAGACAAAGACATGGGATTTGAGATGAGACCAATTGGGAGAGGGCGTATTGTGAATTTTGGATGGAACGAGGATTATGCTTTTGAGAGGGGAAAACCTTGAGTACGGATTGACGAGCAAACCATCGCATTGAATGATTGGTCGAGTACAAGAGAGGTTAGGGAACCTATGGGTTAAGGGGCGTGAAGAACACTCCTTCCCTAGAAGCCTAATCCAGCTGAGTCATGAATGAGACTGAGAATAGCCGAAACCTGAGAGATCAGGAAGAGTGAAAATGGAAGCGGCTCTTTTGTCTTTTGTTATGGATGAACAGCCGGGTGGGCTAGTGCTGCTTGGGGTCGCGAGCCCCAACTCGAGTGCTAGACGCTAAGTCGGGTGTACACAATGGATGGTACGTTACTGTGAAAAATGGAATGGATGGTACATTACTGTGAGAAATGGAATGGATGGTACATTACTGTGAGAAATAGAAGGAAGAGAACAACACGCAAAAGATGAGATGACCGCCTTCTAACCTCCAAGACAGAAATGGGATCCGTAACCTCGAGGCCCACCCCCTCGGGCACTAAC